TAGCTGAAACAAAGCAAAAAATATTAGTAAACTTTGAGAATTTATAGCCAATCTTTAATAATATATTTATTTATTGTTACAAATGGCCATCAAGATTTGATAGCAAATCCTATTCTGGATTTAAAAATATAATGTACTGGTCTAATTGCCTGAGTGGAAAATTTATAAATTTTTGCTCGATATTTATTAATCTTGCACTAAAATTAAGTAATATTTAATTATACTAGGTTATGGTTATACTAGCTGGTTAGACTAAGGCCTATAAGTAGGTATGTAACTATTTTATGACGACCTAAATATTCATGTTATTTAAATTTTCATTTATATTCAGGGATGATTATTTAGAATCATTTCCAATTTAAGATTCATTCATCTCTCAAGTTTACACTTCCATTTCCAAGTGATTTTCTTATAAATTGTCTTCGATAAAGTTGGAACAAATATATTTAATAAGTATAAGTATAAACATATTTTATATAGAATATTTTTGCAGACATTTTTACATGGCTAATGAGATTATGAAAACATTGTATTTTTTATTGAAAATATAACAAACTAAAAATTCAAAAATATTTTTCAGCTTTTTACATTTTTTATTTTTACCTAAAAAAGTTCTACAAATGTACTCATGTTATTTATGTCCCCCCCCCCCTTCCTTCTACGTTTAATGGATAAATATTGTAATAAACCCAATTGTTTTGTTAATATATTTTCAAGTATATCCATATGAACTTATAAAAAATTTACAAGTTATATACAAATTTATTTTTAAATATCCAAAATTATATTTGCTCGTTTCACAATAATTATGTTGAATTTTTATACATAATAGGAACTACAGCTTTTTTTTTTTTTTTTTTGGTCCTTCGACTATGTTATCAATACCTCCTTGTTAATATTTTCACTTCTATCGTGTTGTCTTAAGCACAGAGAGTATTTTTTTTTTTAGTAGATCACATTGCAAACTGATGTTCTATCTCCATCCACCATTTTTCTAACGCCACTTTTAGACAATTTGTGTTTTGGAACTTTAGACGAAGACACTATCTACGACGGCAACTGTCGCCATGTAAACGAAACTCAAGTATCCTCTCTAAGAAAATATCCGTAACCCGAGATGTTAGACAAGAGAAGGATGAATTATTCGGCTTGATCCTCGCCTGTTACAGCCCAGAACATCCTAACCGCTGTCACATGTTCTCTGTCACACCCCTCCCCTCCCCCCTTCATCCAGCGAACACGATTACCCTCGTATTATGATTACGCGCCCTTACTAACAGCCCATCACAATTAAGATGCTTCTCCTCCATATTGTCCTCTTAATTCTCCTTACACGACACCCCGTCAGAATTATGGACGTAATAATGGAATTAAGGAGGAGGGGAAGAGATGGTGTCTGGTTAATACTTCAATAGACTGTCGACTTATACCATCCACTACACCCCTTTAACATTTATCGATTATTCACTCAAATATCAACATTTATGTTTTTCTCGATATAGGCCAGCTAAAAAAAATGTATGTGCTCAAAGTAAAGCCAAGAAATAATGATATACGTATCATTATTTCTTGGCTTTCCTTTGAGCGCAAACTTGTTTCATTGTTTTTACTTATTTCCTTTTTTTTTTTAGCTATTCAGCCAATTTCCTTCTTGTCTTCCACCCCTTTTTTACTTCAAATACCTCCATCTTATTCTCTGTTCATCTGAATTCTTCCCTACCTAAGTGTTCGTCTTCTTTTATCTCAAGTCTTACTATTTCTTATTTAATCTGTTCAGGATACCCTTTGATGTTCTTCAATCCCATTACTTTGTGATATATCTTTTTATTTATTTCTTTACTCTTCATGTGACCAGAGAATTTCAGTCTACTTTTTCTCATCGATCTTTCTAGATCTTCGATATCTTAATAAAATAATTAATGCTTCTTGGTCCATGAATACACCTTAGTACCTACCTCTCTGTTTTCAGAAGCTTTTCGGTACAGATCGGATTGTCTCCATTCCATGTAACACTACAGGTTTAACTATTGTTTCATAATTTTTCTGGGAAGGTTATTCTTCTTATATAGCTATTTAACTAGATACCTAAGACTGTCTAACTTCACTTTTCTTGTTAAATAAAATTTATTTATTATTGTTTAAAGAAAAAAAAAAACAGCTCTCACATCAAAATTTTAACTAAATAAAAACTGGTTAATAATCCATATTTTGGATGAAGGACATGGGGCAGTCAATATCCATTATAAAGGTTTATGGTCTTGAAATTATTTTTTAATAAAGAATTTTCTATCGTTTCTCAAAATCATTATTATCTATTACACTAACGGATCGAGGATTTAATTTTGGTGTGTGTAGGCCTTCGATGTTTCTTTTACGTACTCGGTCATCCTTCACTTTAAATATCCGATAAACCTATGCTTTTCTATAGACTGCATCAAAAATTATTTTTGCAAAATCAATTAAAAGATATTTAAAATCCTATATGTGTATACTCTTGCATTTTCGAAGTGTGTAATATTGCGTAAGTATATGTGCGTTTGTGTATACGATTTGGTTTAGTGAATATATTGGCTGTGGGTCCAGCAATTCCCGAACATATCCCACGGGAAAAGTAGGCTATTACTGGTGGACTCCTTTCGGGTAATGTCAGTTCCGTGGGATGGTCTAAGGACATCGATCAGCGGAGGACCTACGAGATAGGGTCTGGTCACGGAACATCCTTTCTCGGTGAACTGCAATCAGGGTAGAGAACAGAGAGGGATCGAGTCGTGCCGACGAATCGCTTCGTTATCTGTCTTCAACGTATGTTTTCCTGGTTCAATGTGAAAGTCAATATGGTAGAAAAATTATAATACAGGCGATGGTGTTATAATAAAACAAATGCAAACATTAATACAAATAGAAAATAACTCTTTTTTTATCTTATCCTGAGTAATATTATAAATACATAAATCGATATAATTATCACTTTTATGTGATCTTAAATTTTGTATCCTAAAGCTGAATTTGAGAGATTCAAAGATTTCACCAAAAAAAAAAAAAAAAAAAAAAAACGAATGCAGACTCAAAACTAACCAACAACTTATACACATATTTATAAACATACCATTTACTTATTGCTGGAAACAGAAACGATAGGAAGTGATTGAAGAGGCGAGATTTTAATATGGGGGGGGGATATTATAAGTGATAATTATAAGTGAACATAAATTTCACAGATAATTTGTATTGAATGTATCAAATAAAGGTAATATAAGATTTTTAAAAATCCAATTAAACAGCCTTATGTCTCTAAATACAGGTCAAGTATAAAATAATCCATCAACACTTCACCAATCAGGACAGAAAAAAAAACTACTACCTAAAATCACACAATTCCATGACATTATTTACCTGCATTTGTATGCACAAGCCCTATTGTTCGATCTTTCCAATGACACCCTAACATATATATTCTTAATGGCCAAACGCTGCATAGAAATTCTAGTCAAATTATCTAACGAAAAAGTTTATTTGATGCAAGAGTCGATTTCGAACTGAAAAGCTCTATCTTTTTATTTAATAAGAAGAAATTACTCAAAAACTGTTCAAGATAATTTAATTCTAAATACACCGTCATAAAGAAGTTTTCTTTGAGAAAACAGTGATTAAATTTATTAAGTTCAATGATAAAAGGGACTTTCAGGAGGTCTAATAACACAAAGCCTATTATACCAACCATTAAATAATTATACCAAATTATTTCACGAATCGAGATTACAGACATATGCTGTAAAATATATGGGTAGGAGTCAAAAAATGTACTATATAAAGGAAATACGTAAAGTAGACACATTTATTTTTAAAAAAAACAATTATTAAATTTAGTAAGTTCAATGATAAAAGTGAGTTAAATTTAATAAGGTCAATGGTAAAAGAGACTTAAATTTGCTAAGCTCAACGATAAAAGGAACTTTAAGATGCCACTAGTGGATCCAGGATTTAATTTTGGGGGTGGCTTATTTTTTTTCATTTTATATTTTTTTCATATTTATAACGATAATTAATTTGAAAAAAAAAAGAAAGAAATGAACAACCTATATGAAATGGTGTGATTCTTGAAGTCCTACTAAATTTAATTACACAAACAATAATACTTTAAGAGATTGTTTTTAATATTTTTTTTCTGTAAAACATGGTTATATTTATCATTTTTGGGAGGGGGCTTCAGTCCGAAAGCCCCCCCAGTAAATCCGCCTGTGTAAGAAGAGATAGCCAATAGATTGCTGGTGTTACAATACTCACACACGGGCAGCATATCTCAGTACAGTGTTCGTATTAGACGTCCTCACAGTCCTTTATCATTATCATTGACCTTAGTAAATTTAATCGCTGTTTCCTTAAATAAAATTTCATTTGTTTTGCGATTGTGTACTTAAAATTAAATTGTCTTGAACAATTTTTGAGCCATTGCTTCAAATTCAATAAAAAACGTGATCATTTTAAGAAAAATATAAAATTGGTCTTCACCCCTTTTCCGTTTAGAATCGGTCCATGAATCAAATGAACTTTTTGTTGGAAATTTTGTCCAAAATCACTCACTCTCTATCCCCCCTCTCCCTCCCAGAGTTTGGCCATTTCATGACCTATTATCCGACTATAATTCATATCTTAAGTTATAATATATAAAGGTCGAATTATAAAAAAAAATTGTAATATATATATACAGATAATTCTTTAAAATAATTCTTTAATTTTATTATTACTATTTACTTCCCATTTAATAATTGAAAGGTCTCTTTATAATGTTAGATTTTAATGAGATCTAAAAAAAAAAAATCATTAAATAACTCACAGATGCCCACATCACCTAATCTAAAAGTGGTATTGAATTTAAAACAGACAGTCATTAAAAAATAATTGATCCATCTCGGAGCAACCGAAATGAACATTGTTAATCTTCTTATTAGAGGTGGCTCAATTGCCGGCTGATTGGACATGATGCAGCTGTAGAAGGCGGCATGTGCTGCACAAGGGGACCAATCACCTTCGTGCTCGCTTCCCATTGGCCAGGACGAAATGATCCCCCTAATCGCTCATCCAACCCCTGTAATCATCGCCCGCTCGCACCCCCTTCCATCATAGATTATCTTTCAACTTTTTTTTTTTGTTGTTTCCTTTGTAGTTCTTCCATCTTATAACCGTTCCAAATCCACCAGAATAATCGAGACGTTTGTGATATATCATTTGGGAAAAATGGCGATTAAATAAGAAAGAAATATATTTATAATAGAATATTTTTATTTAATTATTATTTTTATTTAAAATTTGTACTGGGCTGCCAGAAGCCGAATGGCCTAATAGCCAACGGCAGGGCGTTTAATAAAAAAAAAAAAATTTATTTAAAATAATTGAACTAATCAATTAAGGAAGTGTGTAAGTAATAGTGGTGTAGGAGTTCAAGAGTTGCCATGGGATACATATACATACATATAGTGGCAAAACTATTTTATTAAAGGCCTTTAACTAGGACTCCATCTGGACAAACGTCTAACTTGGAATCCTCATACCAGACTGAAACGACAAGAAACAGCTCGACGTTTCCGACTACTTCAACACTTACTAGACAACTCCCAATTAATAATAAAAGACTCATTTACATGACTATAATAAGGCCTATTTGGACTTACGGAGTTGAGCTATGGGACTCCACTAAACCATCGAATACCTCTCGCATCCAATCCTTACAATCCAAAATCCTTCGTAAAATCCTCAATGCTCCTTACTTTGTTACATATAAAATCATCCACAATGACCTTAATGTTCCTTATGTGTCAGATTTGGCCCAATCCAGATATCTGTCCTTCCATAATAAACTTCATAACCATCCCAACCCCATTGTTTCTAACCTTGCTTCCTATTCAATTCCTGATAACCCTCTGAGGCGTATGAAAAGAAGATGGCCACGTGATCTCCTAATATAAACATATTATTAGATTGCTACCAATGGGTAGTTTCTCGACATGTATTTTTTGTATACAGTTGTAAATATCATATAAATAAATAAAAAATTAAAAGCCAACGTTTCGACTCGATTTTGCAGGTTTTGTTCAGAGAGGTGTGTTCAACTAGGAGTTCCACTTAGAACTGACCAACAACCAGTTCTAAGTGAAACTCCTAGCTGAACACACCTCCCTGAAGAAGACCTGCAAAGTCAGGTCAAACGTTGGCTTTTAATACAATAGTTTTGCCACTATTCAGCCTATTTATACCGCCACTCCGGACCATCTCGTTCCTTTAATAAAATAACAACTTTGTGCGCATTAGTTAGGAAAAGATTGATTCTATGTACTATAGGATCCCCCAAGATGAATATACTGTATCCCAACGATTTATATGAAACTTGCCTTTTTAATAATCAAATTAAAATTTATTTGATATTGTAATTTTTTGACAGCTTAGTTATGTTTGAGAGGCATAAGGGTTTTTTTTTATCTTCGAATACTATTTTTTTTTCTTGCTCTCTTTAAGATATGTCGCCTATTAAATCGCATTTTCTCATTTCCAGCTTCTTTTCCCATGGCGAGGCGGATAGGACACCCCTACCAGAACCGGACACCTCCCAAGAGGAAGAAGCCGAGGACCTCCTTCACCCGCCTCCAGATCGCCGAGCTGGAGAAGAGGTTTCACAAGCAGAAGTACCTCGCTTCGGCGGAGCGGGCTCAGCTCGCCAAGTCCCTCAAGATGACCGACGCCCAGGTCAAGACATGGTTCCAGAACAGGAGGACCAAATGGAGGTGAGCTCATACTTTTTGTTTTGGTACTTATTGGTATGTTTTATCTCTGGAGATTTATTGACGCTGGATGGATTATACAATATTCAGAGATTTCCATCCATCGATTGTCCTCCTAGACTTGTTTTGTAGTGGTTTATTTGCTTTATTTTTTATTCGTGTTAGATATAAATGGGTCATATAAATTTGAGTTGAGCTGTCTGTTAATTTATGCTTTATATTAGACAGTGAAGTTAGGAATTAAATTTTGAAACAATTACTGCAAGTATCACTAAATAAATACATTTTTTTTTTTCAATAACGAAATATGACAGAAACAGTTCAGTTAAAGTGAACTAACGATTTAGGAACCCGACCTTGATCCGGTTGGTGACAGGAGTGCCCCTGGAATTTCCTGGACCACATCCTCAATTATTCGTCCCTTCGATATTTTAATTTAAAAATAAATATTAAAATTATCGTTTTCAGATAGCGCTAGGAATCTGATTATATACGAATCTGATCGTCAGGAAAAAAAGTATACTCATTTTGTCTGTTTTATATAGAATGTAGTGCGGAGTAGTAGAAAATATCGATATTTCGATAATATCGACTGTTGAAGGAGTTGAATAGGGGGAGAACTCTTCTCACTCAGTACATTCAATTTGCCCTAATTATTAATGCCCTAATAATTTTTCCACGTGAGAGGCCTTTGGTTCGGAGCTCGCGGAACGATACCAGACTCAACAAGGAGCTTCATGGAGGGCCTTGGTGTCGACATAAAGGACGTGGCAAGGTTGGCAGAGAACATAATCCTTGACTCCCTGGGAATTATCCATCACCATGTGCATGGATAGAGAGTTTATTCATGAGGGGAGGCATGCGTGTTTTACAGCATTTTTACATTATTTATTGACCACGTCCACTGCACTTTATGTATTTGTATGCATGTTATGAATTAGGTTAGGAAAAGAGAGCAGAAAATCTAGGGAACGAGAAAAATGTATAGAGTGAGAGAAGGAACAGAAAGGGATGTAATAATTAAAAATAAAAAAAAAATAAAAAATAAATAAATAAAAATATAGGAAAAAAAATTATGATAAAAAAATATATATAGATAAAAAAAAAAAATTGAAGATTATGCTCATACATGTTGTTAATACTATATAATTGTATATTAGTTTTGGAAAATTGTCTTTAGCGATTAATAAGTATGCTGTGTTTAAAGCAACCCAATGTAATTGGGCAGCACCCTTTTATGATAATAAAGTGATTCTCTCTCTAGAATTGTTGTTAGTTCTCAAACCAAAGCCACGAATTGTCAAAGAAATCTATGTAGGATGAAAATAAATCAGCATTTCGCTGAAGCCGATATATGTGTGAATGGAAGACATAAATGGTTGAATGGAAATTTCTTGAAAAAGTTGAAAATGACGAAGATGGACAGGAACTAGAAAATTAATTTTACTAAGGTGGGTAGAAGAATTGATATTTTTATTAATTAATTTAAAGAGGAAAATAACATATTTTTTGATTAGAGGATGACCTCTGTGTTTTATACCTCTAAACCCTAAATAAAATCTTTTTTGATGTGCCTATGTGCTAGAAATTCGATATTACTATTACTACATTTATATTTCAATAATGTTAGTACTATCGATGAAAATATTTATAATCGATATTTCAAGTCCGATATTTTGATATTAAGAGATGAGCAACTTCTTATGGTTTTTGAAAATAAAGTATTGCGTAGAATATTTGGACCGAAGAAAGATGAGTTAACCGGAGAGTTCAGAAGGTTGCACAACGCCGAGTTGCATGTACTGTATCCATTTAATATAATTGAGGTAATTACAGGTGATAGTTGGGCTTAGTAACGAAAGAATTCCTAAAAGGTTGATATTTGCTGTAAACGTAAACGTCCGAGAGGCAAACCGAAGCGAAGTTGGGAAGATAGCGTTAAAGCCGATCTAAAGGGACTGGGTTGAGACGGCGAACGGTGGAGAGAGGTGTGTAATAACATCCGGATTCGCTAAGCATTTTATTATTAATTATTATTATTATTTTGATGTTATCGATAGTTAGAGACCTTCAATATCTCATCCATAGCAAAGATACAACTTACTGCTGAACTAATTACGTTTTACTGAAAAAAGAAAATTATTTCCACTATCTCATAATACATCACATTTACTTATTTCTATAGTCCAAATAATCTATATATACAAGAAGAAAAGTTTTAAAGATATGTTTCCTGGTTTTTAATAAAATGAAAAAAAAATTATTTAATGCATCCATTTTTCAGATATAAGATAAACTTTAACCTGAAAGCTTAAGTGATGCTTTATATTTGCATACTTATTTTGAATAAATACCGTCTTATCTGTAACTGTTGACTAAATTATTTTTTTTTTTATTGATCTCTCATAAGTGATTATACTCAAACCAATACCCGTTGCAAGGCTACCCAGGACGCACACTATCTTGGAAGTACACTCCGCTCAGAGAGTAGGATTGAGCTATCGGACTGTACCCAAGGTAGTGAACACGAGTGTTCCATTAGCCCCTACAGTAATTAAAATGTTACACTGTCTCCTCGGCCAGCGATTAATACCTGGGCAGTTCCCGCCTTACATCTGTCTGTCGGCTTCTTGTCCTTCGGGGTATACTCTATCGAGATCGAGTCGAAGGAAAAGGAAACGGACCAGAGACCGGAGAAGAGAAAGACCACAGAAAGAAATGTTATATCAGTTAAAAATTCAACCTAATACAGTATACATGAATATTCCGTGTAGTATATTCCGTTTTCAGTATGACGGGGAAGAGGAGAGAGGATGAGGAGAGCGATGAACCAGAAAAAAAGTGCCAGGAGTTACAAAAATTATATGTGAAAATTAACGTAGTTATAATTAAACGAACAATACATAGTTAAAAAACAAATTTATACAAATATTTAATATATTTACACCCTTTTATTTTTATGTTGCATGGATTTTTTGGTGAATGTTTTGACAAAACAGTTAAAATATGATCTTTAGATAACATATTGTCTGTTTATTAGAAAAACTAGCAACATACATTTTTTACGAACCTAAACTTTTTTATATGTTTTTTTAACCTTATTTAACGATTGTTAATTACAACTAATTATAGCTTATTACAACACATGAAAAGTTGTGAAGGCAGATAATTGGGCCCAGAGCACGGCCAACCGTCAGGTTTTTTCCCTCTATTAATTACTTAATAAAGATTACTCACTTTCTAGAGGCTGAGTGTGCCCCAAGAGGGTCTCCGATGACGAAGGGGAAACCCTAAAATATTAGGACAGTTTTTAATTCTTCTCAGAATAAAGAAAATGACATTGATTATGGATATTTAGTTCGAGAACTCAATTAAGGTAACAATGGAGTTTATATAATGTGTAAAGGTTTCCAACACGATAGGCATTTAAAAAAATAAAGAATTATTGATGTAAAGTCTAAATTGATGAGAAAAATAAATTAGTAGATTGACTAAGTACGTAAAAGAAAGTCAATCTTTTAATTGTAGGTGTAATTAAATTGTAATCCCATGATGACAACAATTTCCCAGACTTGAAAATAGCCCTAGTGTTGGCCGAAACGTTTTCGAGATTAAATAAAAAATGTTGGTGGAATATGAGCTTGATTTATAATAATGAAAACAAAAATTGGGTCAACATGCATCAATCTTTCCTACATTTATGCCTTACTTGTTGAGGCTACTTTTTTTTATTGCCATATTCCTCGATATTTCTGGTGAACAAGGGAAATGTTGTAGAGGTAGTGTTACCCAAAATCGGTCTTGGTCCTGCACTTTGCAAGACCACGACCAAGTACGTCTAACTGTTGCAAGACCAAGTTCATGACTGGTAAAAACAATTGATTTTTTAAAATAAAAATTAAGACAAAATAGTTACTACTGCTTGACAATCTTAGTTATTATATGTTAATAATTGTTATAACCAATATACTTTTGCATTTAACTTCTCTAATTTTTCATTTGGGCTTAGTTAGGTTTCTTCTATCTAAAAAAATACAGTAATATCTTTATAGTAATAATCTAATAAGTAACTGAAAGACTGTTACAAGACTCTTGAGCAAGACCATGACTGAGTTTGTAAGACCAAGACTCGTCTCGTCTCGCATTTGGGCAACACTATCTACAGGTTACAACCGTCACTAAAATATTTTCAACCCGCCCATACCGGATTCCAACCTGGCCGCTAACTCGAGAATGTTAAAGCGTGGAACACCTAATCACGCTCGGATTCCACGGTGTCTGACACAAAAGTAATAAATGTTTTACTCGATCAAAAGTATACTTAGTGACTTTTTCCTATAAATTTACAATGCTCGAATGATCTGAACGAGAACGCAAGACCCTCCTTCCTTTAAGTCAAAACTGAGATAACCTTCCCAAGAAGTGACGTAATAGAAGAGACAAAGAGGTAATAGTCGACTAATTGACACTAGGTAGCCGGTGACGTCAGCTGGCTAGAGCCCCCTCCCAAACATTTTATCAAATTGAGCTTTTAGCCGTTACCGTAGAGCAGCCGGCGCCTACAGATAAGGCAGTCAGTAATGGCCACCTCGAGTCGAGGATCACTATCCTGCCTTACTTTTATTTGTCTCTTTTAACTCTTGTTCCCTTTTCGATTCTTCCGTTTCAGGTTTTGTTCTGTTTCGCCCCGATTGCTAAGTAATGGACTGGAGGCTATCTAATCGTCAAATAGTCTTTTGTAAAGGTCGAATAATAAATTCATTGGCTCAAGGACTCCTCCCCCCCCCCCCTCTTCAACTTAACCTAACCTTATTGTACTGTCTCCTACTTCGCTCGTTATTAGTCTCTTAATGAATCTTGGGTAATGCTCTTATCAAAATCCGTGCCATTGATAACAGATCCCAAAGGTATAGTCCTAGCTAAACTTGCTAAACAAAAATGTTACATATATATTTTTTATAGTTTTGACTGCACAGTACAATCCTTGCTTGTTTATAGATTTATGAT